TTACAATTGCTAACGCAAATAGAATCACGGGGTCAACGATTAGATCGGAGCTGTATTTTTAGAACGGTCAATCAGTTGTCTATTTCGCGTTGACACGCTCTGTATAAATTTTTCAATCCCTATTCCAACTGTTCCGCTTTTCTCTCGGCAACTTTTCTTCTTTCTGCGTTTCCGCGATCTGTCCCCGATTCGATTTCATAAATTTTCCATCAATTTTCGGATTCGTGTCGCGGTTCCCACGAATCCGAAGGAAGGCAAGAAGCTGGTTAGCTCGAGGGAAAATTGGCCGAGAGTGGCTGACTGATTTATCGCGATGACTAGTTTATGAAGTTTTTGGAAATTTTTAACTTTCACTTTCTGTGTGTGTGTGTGTGTGTTCTATAAGTTGAACAATTCATTTTTTATGAATTAAAATTAGAATGAAAATTAGCTCAATTAGTTGACACGTGGATTTAGTAAGTTTCTATTAGTGGCGTCTAGCGATGGAAATTCATTTCTTATCTTTTTTCGAGAAAAGGAGCTAATTGTAATATTTTTTTATTACACATACATTGTCCTACATTTTGTAGTTTATATGGAACTCAATGATAAGACAGGAAGGAACTGAACAATGAATCTTGTGATGTTTAATAATAACAGAATTAAGAAAATAGAGGAATGTTATTGTGACTAGTAAATATACAAAGTATTTTTGATATTTTTGTCATGTGCATTCTGTGTATTTTCTGCCAGTTTTCTATAAAAAGATATAAAAATGTTTGTCCTACTCTTTTTAAACTACTTAATATAATGTGAATATATATTATACATTATGTGTAACACAGAATATATCTTCTATCTGACTGTTGTTTTATTTCATAGAGTATAGGACATATCAGTGGTGGTCACATGAATCCCTCTATAACAGTGGCAGCACTGATCTTAGGAAAAAAGTCTCTGCCCATGACTCTCCTCTATACTGGTGCCCAGTGTGTTGGTGCAATGATGGGTTATGGTCTTATTAAGGTAAATCATCACTAAACATTGACACTATTCTAGCTTTTAGAGCTTGATAATGTTTCTACTTTCTACAAGTCTCATTTGAATATTGAATATCAATAAATATAAAATTTCGAATTATTATAGTATGTATGTATTTTATGTTACATTATAATTCCCTCTATTAGTATCAGAGTAAAGAGGATAATATTTATAATGCAATAAATTTTGAGTATTAATATCTAATAATTATATATGTATTATATTAACATTGGTTGTTACTATACTTTATAATAAATATATTATAATTAAACAAAATTAAAAATACATATTATACTATTACAAATATCAATGTCAATATTAAATTGAATATTAGTACTTGATATTTATTATTCTATAAAAAATTTCTCGGTGCTCTAATATTTCACTATATTAACTAATATCAATATCAGTTACTAAATTAAAAATTTATTATACATTTTTTAATATTTTACATACAACGTATTTCAATATGTCCAAGTATTTAATACTTCAAGTATTTCGATTTTAATATCGATGAATATCAAAACCAAAGAGATTGGTAAACATTCCAAAATTAATAATTTAACATGTCCGGGAGAACATACGTCCCAGGAGAACTTCGGTTATAAAGTCCAATCGTGAGATTTAAGTCTTAATGCAAACATTATGCATAAACTCATGAAACTTCAATTTATTACATCCCTCCAGGTGATAACTCCAGTGGAACTAATGTACGCGGGCCAACCAGACTCGGGGAATACCTTCTGCATGACCGAACTCCACACCGATTTGTCCACATTCCAAGGTTTCATGGCCGAGTTTTTAGCAACTGGGATTTTAGTTCTCTTCGCCTGCGGTGTGTGGGACTGTCGGAACGTGAAGAACACCGACTCGATGCCAATGAGATTTGGTTTCTGTATCACGGCGCTCAGCCTCATTTTCATCCCCTTCACCGGTTGCAGCATGAATCCGGCAAGAACGTTAGGTCCAGCTGTTTGGAACGGTTATTGGAGTAATCATTGGATCTATTGGTTGGGTCCACTCGGTGGCTCTATCGTCGTGTCGTTAATATATCGATGTCTGTTTATTTGCAACAGGAGAGAGCCTGGACAGTGTGATTAGAAGCGCAGGATGATGGACGATAATGGTAGGTTTTGTACGCGCTTACAAACACCAGATCTTTGAGTTACTTGATGATTGGACCATTGTTGTCACGTGTTCCGAATATATTCCATTTTATTTTCTATCATTTTCATTTATATTTGAAATATTTTATCTTCTCAATAGATCTTGCATACGGTATTCTTAAGACAATAAATTTGAAGATATTTTTCACTTCTGTGCTAACTAACGACTGAAAATATAAAAATTTACCTACAAAGAGATTAAAACGCGGGATACAAGAAACATAAGAACATAAAAAATTAAGAACATCGTAAAATAATCATAAACTCGAGAAACTCGGCAAGGATTCACCTCTGCCTTTATTTTTCTCTATGTTCGCTCGATTTCACCGGGGAACTGATCTCGAGAGCAAATCGAGGCTTCTCTTCGTCGAGAGGAGACGTTTGAAAATAGGTCGAGCCACGTTAATCGACTGTCTTGTTGGTTCCAGCGAGCAGAATCGCGGTGGTTTACAGTTCACAATTCGAGCGAGAAATCCTAATCGTATCGCAGGAGAGACGGAAGTGGAGATGGCCGGATGACAGAGCCGTGCGACGTCCGATGATCGAGAACAGGCGAATGCCACGCGAGGAGAACTTCCCCTGCGTAGACTGATACTTCGAAACGATTCATATCCGACAATCGCCTAATCGTCATTTTAACTTCCCTGTTACGAGGCGATCGCGCGTATTAATCGGTTTTCAGCAGTTCTCGCGGCGCGAAATTCAGGCCAAAGTGTTTTCGTGATTTTTTTTTTCGATGAGGAGAGAAGGAGAATTCCGAGCGAACATTGCGGAACTCCATCGTGCGAAAGAAAATGCGAAAAAGGACGACAGACTGTTCTCGATACTTCGTTTGTCTCGTGATAGAATTGCAACGATTCGAACACATTTTCCCTATTGCGAATGGAAATTTCGAAATGAAGAAATAAATTTGATACGTTTTAAGAAATTCTCGTCTCTTTCTTTTCATTGTGTTATTCCCGTCCCTTGCTTTTATTTCGATGCTCCGTTTCGAAGAGTGGGATTTCTAAGTTGCTGAGATTGTGAAATTTTGTTAATCATTCGACTTGAAGATTGAAAACAAGATAATCTTCGAGCCGCATTATAATTTCTTTTGGTAATCTTATAATTAAATCTGGTAATTTTATGATCGATCTGCTAAAAACTTTAGATACACGTTCGAAACAATGGCCGCTAAGATGCGCGTTCGTCTGACGCGCACGCGTCTAGTGCGCATGCGCCTCACCCGATTTTCATATTTATGAACTTGAACAATGTTTTTCTTTTTCAACATGTGATTCGCCTTTCTCTCTCTTCCATTTCACTAAAATATATATTGCAACTTAACCTGTTAAAATTGTTAGACAGGTTACAATGACTGACAACATATTCTGTCATATGAATCCCTGAAAATGTCACAGATGATCGATTTTTAGTGTGACTCTCAGATTTCCCGACTCAACGAAGCTTATGTTTTCATTCCTAATCTAATGTAATCCGATACTAATGAAATATTACAAGTCATTCTATTACAGATGGTCGATTTTTAGATGGAAGATTTCTCGACTCAACGGAGCTCGTTCTTCTTCCTAACCTAATTCAATCCGATACTAATGAAATATCACAAGACATCAGATACGCACTGAAACATAAAAACGTCGATTTTTCTATCATAATATTGTACATTCATAATACATTTCTCATCGTAATACTCTTCAGAGCAAACAAGAAATGTCTCGTTTTGTAGATAGATCATTGAGAAGCCATGCCAACCAACAATTATAAGCATCATTTCCGAAAATTCATGAAAATGTGTCCTACTTGCGTTACTGTTGGCATACACTCAACGTACATTCCCCTCGAATTTCCCCGCCCGAAACTCTCCAGAGTAACTTGTTCAAGTTATCGTGCGAATATGTTGCACACGCGTTTAAAAATAAACTAGTTTCTCGGCAATCGAAAATAAACGCAGGTGAGCACACATGCACACACGTGTGTATACATGCATACGCGATCTACGTGCGCGACTTGCCTGCCATCTGGTGGTGGAAAGGGGGGGGGGCGGGAAGCGGAAAATGGAGGAGGGAGAAGTTTCCCGCTGAATCAACGGTGTTCGAGAGAACGTTCGACCCACGTGCCACGGGGCCGCGATAAAAGTGCGTACGATCGTGCCCGTTCACAAACTATCGGGACGAGCGAGCGTGCGTGCGCTGCCTCCTCTTCTTTCACGCTGCCTCCTCCGATCGATCGAGATCGCGCCAACGGCTCCCTCGATCTCTTCCACCGTCGGTTGCGGTTTCCGAGTGTAGTAATTGTAGTATTATATAGTAGAGAGTGAGTGTGTGAACACACGGCTGGCGTCATGTCCTCTGGCGGATTTCGCTCGGGTAAGTGTACGTACATACAATGCGTGTGTGTACACTATCGTTCATAAATCGGCGGGCGTTCAATAAAGTTGAAACGTGGCTGTGGCATTTGCATGTTTAGGGGCGAGCTGAGGATCAACGGTACAATTTTAGCTCTGCCCCCGTTGTTTTTTAGATTTGCCCCTAAAGCCTCTGGTAAGCCAAGACGAGAGTCACTTTGGCTCAATGTAACGCAGTTTAAAAACTGTTCAAAACATTTACACTGTGGTGTAAAGTACTATAGAATCGTAGAATATTTGTACCTTTAGTCTTGGAGTTCAGTTACTAATTTAGTGGGTGATGTTTAGCAGCTAAAGATTAATTTCGAAGCAGATCTCACTGATAATAAAAATAATTAACATGGCAATAATTTAACGAATAAATAGATAATAAAATAATGTAACATGGCAACAAACAACGTAATAAAAAATGCAACGAAATCACGCGGAGAGAATTCTGTTGATATTCCAACAACCATTCTGCTCGAAACGCGCGAAGTTCTCCTAAAACTTTTGCGCGACAGTGTACATACAATAATAACTCGTGCCAAGTAAATTATTCTTACGGAAAGTCGTTCAAGTTCACCACTAACGTAAACTAGGTTAGGTTAATTCCGTGTTAAGCAGATCGAGTGAGAATTTGTTAAAGGTGGATTTCGCGAGGTAAGAACTGATCGGTATTGCGGAGCATGATCGGTGGGTATAACGATGCGTTTGTTTGGTCTCGTCGCATGTAATACGTGGTAACTGTAAATATACGAGGTGAAACGACGAATTCGTGAAAAGTTCAAAAGATTTCCTGTTATATTTTTTTTTGGAGGAAATTTGTCTTGCTAATTGATGAACGAAGAAATTTGGAGCAATCGAGCTGAATGATTCAATTTTGGAGTAGAAATTACGTAGACTCATATAAATATTGTATGGTTTATAAATTATAAATGTAAAGTATAATATAAACTAGTATAAAATATAGCATGAAACTAATATAAAGTATAAAATAAAATAAAACTCAGTTAATATATTTTACTGATATTTTTGGTATATATAAAGTATGAAACTCAGTTAATATACTTTACTGGTATTTTCGATTATTTTTAGTAGTGTATATAATAACGTACTACATGTCTATAGATTTAACAGTAGTGTAATTTGTTGCTCGTTATCATTTTTTACAATTTATATTTAAATTTATTGAATTTGAGAATTTTATAGTTGAGTTCGCGTTGTAAATTATCATCAATCAATTTTGTGGACCTGGAAACTTTGGAATAAGATTATACATTCTACTTGAATATTTATGTTTTAATTACTAAAAAAAAAAAGAGGAAATGACATTAACAGAATTTATTCAGAAATTTCAGAAATAAGATTCTAATTTCTGATCTGAAAGTATAATGTTGATGATACTTGAAATTAATTTATTTAGGTTTAAAGATCACGAAATTCAAACAAAAACTCACTGTTTAACGCAACATTATTTCAACACAATACTTCAGTCAGAATTATTGTTTAACTCAATCTAAAATTTCATTCCTTTTCCACATAGTGCAAGGGAGTATGTATACATATTTTTATATATTATTCTGCTCTCGTATCTTCTATGTTATTTCATTTTTGGGAAAAATTCTCTTGCTCATTTTGTCCATTAAATTTTACTTTACACATATGATAACATACGTACAGATTCGAAGAACAAGAAGACGATAAATCCAAGAATTTCTCGTAGAAATCTACATAACTAATAGCATAACTGATGACCCGACTAGGCACAATGTTTATGCATGTACGAGTACAAGGATGTATGTAAATGAGAGAGAGAAAAAAAAAA